TCAAGCGTCTGAAGCTTATGTGAGTCAAGCAGATATCACACCATCTTCTTTGGATCCGAAAGCACTTCAAAAGATGATACAAGATTCAGTTGCAGCTGCTCTCCCCGGGGATATTTCTAGTGCTCCCACTGTTGCCTATCCTGGTAAGAATTTAAATAAGAATTCAAAAGTTTGGCATATAGATTCGGCTGCGTCTAACCATATGACAGGAGATATCCATAATTTACACTCTTTATCAACTCCATCAGAAAATCATATTATTTTCACAGCCAATGGTGATACTTTACCTGCCTCTAAGATTGGAAAATCATCTTGCTTCACTAATGTCCTTTTTGTCCCTAAACTTACTGTTAATCTTATTTCGGTTGGACAATTGGTGGAACAAAATTGCCTTGTTGTTTTCTCACGTGTTGGTTGTGTTGTTCAGAATCTGGAGACAGGGAAGGTGATCGCCAAGGGTCGTAAAGTTGGGAGAATGTTCCAGTTGTCCATGTTTGAAACACTTCACCATGCATGTTATTTGTCTGCCACTAAAGGAGACATCACTAACTCAAATAAATTGTGGTACTTGTGGCATCATCGTCTTGGACATCCACATGCTTAAAAACTTTCTTCCATGTTATAGTATTGTCTTCATTTGAATAAGAAATCATGGGTTTTGTCATCAAAATTGCCCTGTGAAAATTGTGCTAAATCCAAAAGTCATAAACTACCTTTTCCTTGTAGTACTACTTCATATGACTCTACTTTTGATTTGATTCACGGTGATGTATGGGGTCCTGCACCAATTTCATCTAGATTGGGGTATCTATATTTTATCTTGTTTATTGATCATATTTCTCTATATACATGGGTATTATTTTTTAGAAACAAAAGTGAAGTTCCTAAAATCATACAACAATTTGTCATCTATGTTGAGACTCAATTCAATAAACGAATTAAAAAATTTCGATCTGATTCAGGTGGAGAATACATGAAGTCAGAACTCATAGATTTTTTCAAAAAGAGAGGCATTACTTTGCAATACTCTTGTCCATACACACCTGAGCAAAATGGGGTTATAGAAAGAAAAAATAGGCATGTTCTGGAAACCATATTATCTCTTCTCGATACATCAAATGTTCCTAAAATATTTTGGGTTGAAGCCATCCAAACTTCTGTCTATTTAATAAACAGACACACCATTACCATTAACAAAGATGATAGTCCATATTCCATTCTTTTTGGTAAACTCTCTGATTATTCTCATCTAAAAGTTTTTGGTTGTGTGTGTTTTGTCCATTTACCTAGATATGAACGTCATAAATTATCTGGTAAAGTTGTGAGGTGTGTTTTCCTGGGTTATAATGATGTTCAAAAGGGATATCTTTGTTATGATTCTTTTAGATGACAATTGCGAGTTTCCAGACATGTAATTTTCTTTGAGCATCTGTTTGCTTACCTTATTACCTCTTCAACAAAATCAGACTCTGTCTCATTTCTGCACAAGTTTGAGAATCAGCAGGAACAAAATCTCACATCTCCCAATGAAGACCCTAATGGCATTATTGATGATCCTGGTCAATCAGATGCATTCCCTACGGATAATTCAGGTAATAGTACTTTGTCACATAATTCATTGAATACCTCTTTCACTGACTCATCTGACAACAATGATTATTCTGATGGTGAACCTTTACCAAGTGACCAAATAAATTCTTCCATTCCTTCTTTTCATCACTCTGAACGTAAAACATTTGCCCCAGATCGATATGGATACTCTTCTAGTAGATACGGTCGATCGTATGCATTACTTGCTACTTAGAATTCTATTTTTGTTCCAACTACTTACCAACATGCATCAAGTCATGACTGCTGGAAAAAGGCAATGGAAGAGGAACTTTTGACTTTAGAAGAAAATCATACATGAGATTTGATATCTAAACCGGCTGAAACTTATGTTATTGGGAGTAAATGGATTTATTCTATAATTAAGTATGATGGAACATTAGAGAGGTACAAAGCTCGGCTAGTAGCTCAAGGATATAAACAAGAATATGGCTTGGACTATGAGGAGACTTCTGCTCTTGTTGCAAAGATGACGACAATTCGTGTGTTGCTCACTATAGCATCCATCAAACGGTGGAAACTTCATCAAATGGATGTGAAAAATGCATTTTTGCATGGTGAACTACATAAGGTTATATACATGAAGCCTCCTCTAGGGTACAACCAAGCTCAACCGATACGGTTTGTCGTCTTCGAAAATCTCTTTATGGTCTTAAGCAAGCACCACGTGCATGGTTTGAGAAGTTTCGATCTACCATCATAAATGCTGGATTTTCTCTTTCTGATTATTCATTATTCATCTGGCACTCCAATACTGGTATGAAAATTTTACTATTGTATGTGGATGATATGATTATAACCGACAATAATGAGAATGGAATTGTACAGCTCAAGAATCTTCTTAATGCAACTTTCAAAATGAAGGACCTTGGCAAGTTAACATATTTTTTAGGGATAGAGGTTGAATATTTGCAGGATGGTATCATGCTAAGTCAAAAGAAGTATGCAGAGGATCTTGTCACACAAGCATTTCTAAGTGATCAGAAAGTAGCTCACACACCTATGGAGATCAATGTGAAGTACAAAAATGATGATGGTGACCCTCTTACAGAACCAGCATTGTACAGGAGGTTCATTGGTTGTCTAATTTATTTGACAATAACAAGACCTGACATCTCTTATCCAGTTCAAGTCTTGAGCCAATTTGTTACAAATCCTTGCCAGCATCATTTTTCTGCCCTTTTCAGAATCATTCGCTATGTTCGGAGTACAATTAATCGAGGTATTTTCTTTCATTCAACTTCATCTCTAAATCTCGAAGGGTATGCAAATGTAGATTGGGCAGGATGTCCAAACTCTCGAAAGTCTACGACAGGATGGTGTATGTTAATCGGATCATCACTTGTCTCATGGAAGTGCAAGAAGCAGCCAAGAATTTCAAAATCATCAACGGAGGCAGAATATAGATCAATGTCAGCCGCTTGCTCTGAAATTGTGTGGATACGTCGATTGATGGCAGAACTTCATATCTCTCTTGATGGCTCCACTACATTACATGTTGCCAATACTAGTGCAATACAAATAGCAACAAATCCAGTCCACCATGAGAACACAAAGCACATTGAAGTAGACTGTCATTATATTCGAGAACTTGTTGTTGATCAAGTCATTAGTCTTCGACATATCACGTCGCATGATCAATTGGCAGACTTGTTTACAAAAGCGATGACAAGGAGCAGACACCAATTCCTATTATCCAAATTAATGCTTCTTGATAAGTAGCATCAATTTGAGAGGGGATGTTGACCATATCAGATGTGATTCCAAATCATATCTGATATGATTCCAAATATCTAAATATCTTATATGATTCTAAAATATTCGGGACAATATTCTAATTTAACTAAGCACAATCACACCATTGATATTGTGCAAGATATGATATGATATTATGCTAGAATCATGCTTGTACCTTTGTATATAAATAGTGGATAGTTTATCAATTGTAATCAGAAGAAATACATAATAGTTTCATCTCTTTTTGGTCTCTGATTTCTCAATTGTTATCAAGGGGCTCCAAAAGCCTGAAAAAAACACCAATTTCAAGGGGATGCCAAATTTGGCGTATCTGTATCTTTGTGGATGTATGGTGTTGAAGAGGTTCAGCATTCCCTGAGATGTTCAGAAAACTCATTGAGTTAATGTTGTATAATTGTGAAAGGCTTGTGAGGTTTTCATATGTCAATGTTGAATCGTAAATTAGTTGACATCACAGCTCACTTATGTGATGATGAGATATCGTTGATGACCCGAAAACTTGCCTTATCCAACCATTCAAAATATGATTTTTTTTTTTTTTGTTGGTACCTCTTGCTGGCTTATGGGAAAATGGAAAAACACCAAATGACTATGACATTATTAGTTTATTTTTTGGAGAAATGAAGTTTTTTGGCGTTCGTTTGTGGTATAAAGATGAACCTGAGCTTTGCATTAGGATAAGGAGGAGCAGATACGAACATAATAAGGAGACTGGCCAGTTGCTCATGATTAATAGCTTTCCTCATCATTAATATCTTTGCTCGCGCCTATTGTAACCTCTCGGGAGAATCGATGACTCTTCTGTTTGCTAACAAGTAACTTGTCCAAAATCCAATTGCATATGAATTTGCGCCAACAAGAAAATGGTCACTCTAGCATAAGTAGTCCAGAGCAATTACACTACTTTTAGTAGTCAATGTTAGTTGAAATTAGCTAGTAGTATTAAGTTTAAGTGTTTTAAGTAAGTTTTAGTTTTTTTTTCCATCCAGCGTCTGCTATCTGTCATAGGGGCTCCAGTTAATGCAGTTTAAATGCCAGAGACATTAATTAAAACCACTATAATTTTGGACCTATTATTATAAAATTTTAACTGTTTTCAAAATGTCAAACTAATCAAATCTGTATCTTATATTCATCTTTCATAATAGTGCACATATCATCTCGAAATCCTAAATACGCATCTAAAAAGAGCAAAATAATAAATGGAAGAAAAATGACAAAAAAAAGACGGAAAAAGTAAAGGTTGAGAAAAAAGAAAAATAAAGAAATGAAAAAAAATGAAGAAAAAGACATAAATGTTGAGAAACAATTGATCATGAAGAGTTGTATAAAAATATTTGAAGTGTAGAAGGGCAAAGGTGTAGTTGTTCTATATATAAAGAGGGAGAAAGGCTAGTCTCTAAAAACTTTTCTTATAGGAGATATAAAATTTAAGACCACCCACTTTGAGGGACACCCGGTGTAATTACCTGGATTATACCCCAAGGTTATTAAGTTAAGAAGCCAAAAGTCATAGTAAGCAATTAAAATACAAAATAGAGTAGACAAACTAATTTAATTGCCAGACTACAAAGAGATTTCCCATTTTCTCTTTTTTTGTCCCCCCCATAGTAAACAAGATGATCATTTTACAGACTGCACATTAATAAAGCAATTCATACAAGAGAAGTTCCCAAAATCCTATTATTTATTTTTACAGATATATAATAACAAAAATGCTAAGTTAACTGTAGAAATTTTTTGTTTCTTTTTCTCCCCCATATACATTAGCCTTGCAATGACTCCTCTTCATCTGGCAAGACAACAGCTAGTAAAGAGAACTTAACACGAAGAGAAATCTTAGCCTTGTCGACTACAAGCCTAGCGCCGGACACCATCCAATAGCCAGGTTGATCCTGGGGTCCTCTCATCATCTCTGTCGTATCAACAAACTTCAAGAGTCTTCGGGTTTGTGCTGACATTGGAGGTCCATCAGGATAAAGTGCAGAATTTATGTGAACTTCAGATGGTCGTGGCGGTGGCTTTTGAGCGGAGGAAAAATGAGAACTTATAGTTGAGATGATTCCAGATTTTTCGGTGATAACAGGAGAACCATCCCACTCAGGTCTCTTTATGACTGTGGCACCAATGACTTTAGAAAACCGAAGGCGTAAAAAAAGAACATTTCTCAGACCAGATTCTCTAACTTCAAATTGGGCCCCCGTGACAATGGAGAGATCATCAGATTCTATGGGTGCAGTGCATACATGTGAAAAACTTTTCCATTGGACCTTCTCATGATACCTTTGGTCCGAGGAGCTGCTCGCATAGCCATATGATTCATTTTGAAGCTGAAGGCTTTTTGGCAAGGATGAAAGGTGCTGCAAATGGATTGCTAAGCAATTGTTTCTTTTTCCTTCCAAATACAATCGGAGGCCAGTCACTGGCTTATCCAGATCCACCTATTAAAATGGTACAGCCAAGAATTCATTTTTAAAAAAAATAGACACAGACAAATAAAATGTACAGCATTGATTGGCTGTACATTAGGCAACTATCGTTCAAAAAAGTCACAAATGTAAGAAGAAACAAAATGTATTAGACTATCTATCGACACAAATTAATCATGGGAAGTAGACAAAAATATAATTGTCGATCCCATTGTGCTTCCCACCATCCCTCACTCCTCATGCCCCCAAAAAAAGAATTAGAATGGTGTGAAACTATAATAAAGACTACACAGTCGTTTATCAGTATAATGTACAAAATTTGCATACTAGTCCTCAGAACTATCTCCAGAAAGCTGTTCAAAGTTAAGCTAGTGTCAAATTGAAGCATACTGGGGAAGCTTGGCATGCATATAATAAGTCCCCAAAATCTGGATAGCATGAACCAGAATGTGATCACAAAATGCAAACCTGAAATAAGGCAGGCTCCTGGAGACAGAACCATAAACTAGAAATACTTGCATTCTATGATGCAAGGCCACACAAGTAATTTGACCAGTAGTATATTGATTAATCATATCAGCAGCAGAAACACCACTCAGAATGGAACACAAGTCTTCGGGATCACTAGATATTGACAATGAAGGCATTGATAGCAGCGCTCCATTAAAGTTGAGTTTTAATGCAACGAGCTGAATAGAGTCCTATCTCAGCGCCTAACAATCTAAGGATCGAAAAGAACCCAATAGAGTTGGTGCTGTGTGTTAGTAACAGGAAGGATCCTTATATTTTCTAAATTAAGCAGGTAGGAAAAGATACGTTTCATCTTCTCATAGGGTTGCCATTTTGTGACCTAATTGGGGAGCTTGATGCAAAGTAATTTTTGATAACTGTTGAACAATATAAACAACAACATACCCGGTGTAATCCCACAAAGTGGGGTCTAGGAAAGGTTGAGTGTACACAGACCTTATCCCTACCTTAGAGATTGTTTCCGATAGACCCTCGGCTCAAGAAGAAACAGGCAAAACAGTCCAAAAAGAGAATCAATGAAAGTGCAAGCATAACGAAGCATTCTAAACAGTAACTACAACAAAATAATACAATAATCGAAGTACAAGAAATATCATATCGTAACAGAAATCGAAGGACAATAAAACTATAGGAGTAATACTAAGACTACTATGATGGATAGATAGCAAGACAATTCACTACCACCTACCAACCTCCTACCCTAATTTGTGTCCTCCATAACCTCCTCCTATCTAAGGTAATGTCCTCGGTAAACTGAATCAATGTCATGTCCTGTCTAATGTCTTCTCCCCAAAACTTCTTCAGCCCACCTCTACCTCTCCTAAAACCATCCATAGCCAACCTCTTACACCTGTACAGGGTAACAGTGAATCTCCTTTTCACATGCCCACAGTCTCGCTTTCCACATCTTGTCCTCCACCGAAGCCATTCCCATCTTGTCTCGGATATCTCATTTCTAATCCTGTCTCTCCTAGTATGGTCATACATCCATCACAACATACTCATTTCCGCATCTTTCATCTTTAGAATGTGAGAGTTCTTGACTGGCCAACACTCTTATTCTATCCTGCATCACTTATTTCAACTGCTGCTCCAAATGAACTGCTTATTCCACTCTTTATTGATTCTACTAAAGAAGTGATTAGAAGATGGAGTCAAAGAAGGGTGGATTACAAATAACACAAACAGTTAATGATTACATAGCGTAAGGCATCATTGAACTCTCGAGAGTGAAAGAAGTCCATATTTCACATCCAAGGGATCATATTTCTTAATTGTTACATTTTCATTCATACATGACACTCCTTTCTATATACATGAAGTTCAAAAATCAGTCCTTCACCTAGTTACCCAAATCTATAAGAGAATCAACAGATGATGATTGGACTGATTTTGTAGAAATGGAACTGCATTCCATTGGTTTCCTTTTTTCTTTTTGTGCTCTTGACATATCACAGTTCGTTTGTAAAATTTATTTGCTCATACAATACTATAACAAGACCATGAATAACCAAGAACTGAGCAATTTAATGCCTGTTCAAGAAGGTATCTATGTTTATCATTAATTTTTGCAATTCCATGATCCAATCCATAGAGCAATGTTTCAACTGTTGTCCATTTACTATGTTTATCCTCTTCTGTAGTATGCTTTATATCAGCCTTTCTCTAACATAGTTTAGCATTTGCATAATATAGCCTCATATCAAAATATATAAACATATGATTCACTTTGAAAAAAAAAAACAAAGGATTTACTACAAACTCCTTTGAGAGACGGAATAGCTTCCCAGCTGTTTAAGTATCAAATCGAGCATTGTAAGAAACAGTTCAATGAAAGAGTACTTCATGAAACCTGGTAATCTGTAAACATTGTTTTTCTATGATCTGATAAAATCTAACACAGATCAGAAACTGGATTTGACGTAAAACTTTTTAAAACTGAAAATTCATCAAAAAATAATTCATGAAGTTAACATAGCTTCCCAAGTAATAGATGAGTAAAGCTGGAGATTACCAGAGTTGTATTAACATATAACTTGGGGCCCATTAGACTGAACTTCAGAGTTGCACCACTTTGCTGCTTCCTCTCTGGACCAAGAGGAAGTTCACCAAACACTGGTCCCCATTGCCTTGGAAGCTGGAACTCCAAAAACTGATAAAGCTCTTCAATTGGTGGTTTATCTGTATGCCATATACAACGATCAAATGAGTTGTCTAAAAGTTACTTTTGAGTTTAGCATAAGGGTGTGCATCGGTCGGTTCGGTTCGATTTTATGTATTATCGGTTTGGTTTTCGGTTTTTAAATACGCTAAACCAATAACAAACCAATAACATATTCTTTATCGGTTTTTGGACATTAACGGTTCGGTTTTTGGTTTACCCAATAAGAAAATGCTCATAAAATAAATATATGCTTTCTCACTTCTCTAACAATTTGGCACGATACAGTGAGACAAGCAAATCAACTGTAAATGCTTTGATATAGTGAAACAAGAAATATAATGAGAAATTGCATCAACAAGAGTAGATGTAGTACGAAGGTTACAACAACATGTTACAACCAAAACATAATATGGAATTTCTGATGTGAAGTACAAGTACCATGACGTGTGAAGTGTGTAGACCGTAGTGTAGAGTTCTGATATAGTGTTTAGTTATGTTAAATTATTAATATTTAATATTTATTAAGGGTATAGTAGTAACTTACTATTGTCTTAATGGGTTATCGGTTTCCCCAATAACCCAATACTAAAAACCGATACCAAACAGATAACCCAATAATTTTTTTTATAAAACCATTAAAAACTCGTTAACCCAATAACCCAATAGCAATGACCCAATAACATTTTTTTCGGTTCGGTTTATTGGTCGGTTCGGCTTTTGCACACCCCTAGTTTTGCACGAATATCAAAAAGATGGTTCCTGTGCAAAAACACTCAAATCATGATATTTGCCTTTCCTAGAAGGCAAAATATGTGAGGATCTTAAAGCTTATATTCTTAAAACATCTACAGCCATAAGTTCACAAGAGTCATCTTGTTTCTAGTATATCAGGAGTTGTAGATTACTGGATTTATGAATTGTGATAATTTGGAATTCAGTTTCCTCCATAAAGGTCTAGCTAATTAAAGTGTCCAAATATTAACTACACTTTTGGCCAATTCAAGGTTTTGCTGCATTCCTTTAGTTAACTCTAATTTGTATTTATTTAGACAGATCTTTCTATCATTTAAAGCCAAACAAAGATTTAGCTATACACCTAAGAGGCAAGCAGCAAAGTCTTTGGTTAAGATGAATCAGGAAACAGCAGCCCATATTATGCAAAAGATATTCAATACTCACAACGTATGTACAAGTTAATCGCATGGCTCAAAAAACCACTGCCATCAATCCCGCTCAATAATGATGATATTGGAATTAATGACATTGAAATCACGTCTGGTTCAACTGGAACAGTTTGACACCACCTTTTATGTGGGATATTTCTGATACGGCTTCCACCTCTCCTCCCCCAGAGGAATGTAATATCCTGATGTCAAAGAGAATAGGTAAAAGTAGGGATTGGTAAAGGAAATGAGAAGATTATGGACAACCAAATAATGAATATAATATTGACACATGAAGAAACGGAAAGAAACTTGAATATCAAATTGGAAATGGAAGGAAGAAATGAAACATCTACCCAACCAGAGTTTGAAAAGGCACTTTAGGGTTTCACTGATGGCAACAAGGCGAAAATCAGAGCAATCAGAAAACCTAAATAAGAGCTAAAATGAAAGTTATGGTCTCAAAAAGAGCAGTGTCAAACCATAGTAGTTCATTGGATGCTCTTCATATACAAAAGAAAAAGGATGAAATATCAGTTTGACTGACTAATAAGCCTTCCTCAAACTAGGAGCAGACAACCACTTACTCACACTAGAAGCCCAAAAATGTATAAACCATTATTTTATACTACGAGAGAGAGAAGTGACTAATGAGAGATGTGTTTTACCCTTATTGTGTTCCATAGAATTTTCCCTTTAGCTTTAGATCAAAAGAGAAAAAAACAACCCGCGTACCCGCACTGCCCCACATGTTTTTCTCCAAAAATATTTTATATCCGCCCTGCAAAAACTCTAACCCGTACTGCCCCGCACCGCACATTGCCATCCTTAACGTACACTCTACTCTCCCCACACCCTACTTTGTGGGATTATACTGGTATGTTGTTGCCTTTTACTGGATTAACCTGGGGTTATATCCATAACAAGTCACAGTCAAATTTTTATAAAACATCTTCAATCAGAAACTGGCCAAGCAAATACAAACTTTAAGGATGCAGAAATTTTGCTTAATAGTATTCATAAGACTTGTTACCTCTTTGTGAAGATGAACTGTTGATGTAGTGGAATCCATAAAGGGCAACAGTTGTTCACTATTAGCTAGCTGAAAGCAATGAATCCAAAGTGCTTAAGTTAGAATCACAACATGCTTCCGGTTTTATTAATTGCAAGGCTAACACAACTCTGAAATAAAACCTTTTCTTGAAAAGTACCAACAATTTTAAGAAAAATGGTCCATCTGCTATAACTCTAAGAACCTAAAAGCCTGGATAAAAAGAGACAACATTTTAAGTGACAAAATCTATTTAAGAAAAGAAAGCCAAACAGTATAGAAATTTCTGTCGCAGAAAAAGAATACTAATGATTGTAAGTTTCTCAAGTTCATTCTCATTGCAATGGCACCAAGAGCAGAAGGGAAGTTGAGGCCCTTCTGCACAGTCAAGTTTCTTGGAAGAACTTTAAGTTCATTATTTGAGTAATTCCATAGCGTTGAAGTGCAGAAAGATTGTGCGCATCCCAAGTTTTGAAATGAAATGTTTACTGTCCTTCCATTAACAATAAGCAGCATATACTATACACACTCCCAAGTACAAAATTGTCATTCAAATACAGAATTAAATCATATAAAAATGACACTTGTAAGAAAACGATATCAGCTGATAAAGGAATAGTTAGGGATAAACTTTTCACAAAAGTACTTATTCAGTTGGAGGAGAATCGAACTTTTCAGCAGGAAGTAAAGTCGGAAGCAAAATAATATAGGTTGCCAGGATTATATTTATAATCTGAAGACCAAGCAAGGGTTGAATTACTATAAAGATGCAGAACTTTTGTGCTAATTGACAACGGAGGAATTTACATATTTTTTCTTCTCCCAGAGTGTCATTTACTTTTATAAGAATATAGACTATTTACATACCTCTCTGTTATTCGGTAAAAACAGTACCCGCTCTTTTTTTTTCAATCGGTATGGGAGATGTAGTGGTATGGAAGTAGAAATTCTAACTGCATACATTGAAAAAGTATGCACCTAGATAATATGCTCAATCAGAGGAACCTTACCAAATAAGCAACCAAAAACGAGAATTTGGTTGCTGTACAAGCAAAATATAGATGGCTCAAATTTCAATGTGCCCATTAGATACTCAGATAACTTTACGTAAAGAGTCAATCATCACCAGTAAAAAATTTGAAAGAAGCAAAGCAGGTGATCAGGATAAGCAAGTCAAGCCAGCTTTTTTGAGGTTCCCAGAAACAAATATGATCTTCAGATTGCAAGACATAATGCAATTATAACTTATTGTCAAAAGCTAAAGAAAGATACTAATAGGTGTAGAGAAAAACAGACTATTTTAGATTTAACATAAAATGCTAAGGCTGGAGATCAAAATATTGCAAGGAAATGTGATCCAACATTTTGGACCACTGTCTCTGTATGTGTGTGTGCGTGTTTGTTCGTGAGAGTGGACATCAGAAACCATTTTACCCTATATGTGCTTACCAAAGTAGTGCTGGATTGTACATTTGCGTCGCTAAATCTTTCATCTGCCACTTCTTTCAACCTTTTCTGTACATCAGCAGGCTGAAGTGTTGATGAATATTGCTGTTTGACATATACAACATCCTTTCCGCCCATCTTTACACCAACAATAACATGGGTACCATATTTCTCAATAAACCTGGAAATTAAAATTGTTTCCAACTTTTGATGTAAGTCTAAGAATTAATGTTGAGTATGTGACTGAGTAATATGATTTAGCATCAAATTGCAGGCCACAATATATTTTTATTATGTTGATGAAGTAAGGGTGTTTCATTAATAAAGCATCAAGCAGATGCGATGTGTTTAATGTGCAAAACTTAGTTCAAATACATGAGTAGAAACTACACTATGACTAGGGAGCTAATGAAGTCCAAAAATTTATCAGAACTATTAACAGTTACAATGTTGTTCCAGCAAAAAAGAATTACAAAGCAACTAGCTTTGAGGGAATGCATCTTTTGCAGGTCACAATGTCACTCTGGAGGCTCACTATAACGGTAAAATGTAGGCAGTCTCCCACTCCTTGGCCCTTGGCATCTCATCAGTTGATCGACAAGATAATTACTGGTGCGGAAACATTCTTTGCGGGTAGAAAGCTCTGTTATTATAAATACACTGTCATTAGGTGCATAAAGGATCTTACTTCTACTTATCCATGCACAGCTCTAGAATAGGGGAATAACTTCCATGAATACCTTGGGAATTATCAACTTGTTGTATTCAAGAACCTCCCAAGGAACCCAACAAAAATCTCCACAACGAAGATATATAAGATTGGAGGTATTTAAGAAGCTGAGTACCAGAGAATTCAGAAATAAAAGGGTTCCTACATGCTTACGACTTCTTATGAGCAAGCTCTATCTCATTTGTTCATCGATGTGTTACAGTTTTTAAACCAAATAAAAAGAAAGAGGAAAAACAACCATTAAAAAAGTAGGTAGAAAAAACATGAGCAGTGATTTAATGAAAGAGGTTACCTACACCTGGAGGAAATAAAAGAATGAAATGCAAACCACTTCTCACCTTGTCAATGCTACTGGATCCCAAGACGAAGGAATTGCTTGTTTAACATGATCACGCAGTACAACTTGAGCCTTCTCTAATGCAATGTTATAGAGAGTGATGAAGACCCCATCAAAAGCAAGAGCTTTCGTGTAGGAAGCATCTTTTTGCCAACAAGTGGTATATTCAAAAGCAGCATTGAAATGGCCCGTTGGAATCTTACCAGAAAGGGATAGTTCCTGATTAAATCGCTCGGACATCTAGAAGGATAAAGGTAATATGTCTTAGGAAAATTAAAATTGAACTCAAAATAAAAAATTATTAATCATAATTATATCAGCTTTCCAGTAGAAATTTACTCCTCTTCCTCACCTCAGAAAATCCTTCCTTTTTTGTGTTCTTTCAGTAAAAGGATTAAAAAAAGGTAAAGACACCAAGGAAGTGAATGGATACCCTATATTCACAACTTCTTTTGATAAAAATAATAAAAGTATGTAATATGTGGGCAAAGTAAGCACCAGTATACAAGGAGTATACCAAAAGTAGAAAACCTACAAAGTGATAGGTTTTCATGAGAGACACCCAATTATCTATTTAAAAAGGAATACCATGGGTGCATCACAAGGAAATACTACTTGTTAGTTGTACGAAATTCATTTCTACACCCTCAAAAGCTCTCTTATTTCTCTGTCCAAACAGCCCGCGTAAGTACTAGAGGTGCGACATTCCACACCTTGTGTCTTCTCCTTCTTCCTCCATCCAACTGAACAAAAAATCTTTCAGCACCCGGATCACCGAAAAACCCCCGAACCAATTAAGGATTAACAACTATATGCATAGCAAAAAACTAAAAATGATTATTCAAACCTCAATGTACTGATTACAAGGAACAGAAAACCTTCACAAAGCTTAGGTTGCTAAGCGTCCTCTTCTATCTCATGTACTAAATTGTTGTGTTATTGCATATGGAAATCAATGCTTTATAAAACTGCATGGGACACCATGAGCTTTTCCATAATAAGCAACATAATTTGTTGTGCTAATGTAATATGGTACTGATACGAACACGCCTCAGCTCTTTATTTATCTTTATTTACTATAAGGTTCTTAAAAACTGAAAATTTTCATATATCTTTAATTTTTAATAATCTTTTTAAATTACTAAAGTCACTAGGTCTCATGTAATCTATCTATATCTTCTATACTACCTTAAAAGCATGAACTCCCAAACTTGAATGTTGAATTACTATAATACCCCCAATTAAAAATATTCAATTTATTTTATTAATTAATTTTATTATATTGAAAGTAGATACCTTTTCAAATTAAAGGATTGTCACTGTTTCAATGAGTTGTGACGAAGGGTTGTGACTTTTCTAAAGGGTTGTGCCTTTCCTGATGAGTTGTGCCTTTTTTAAAGGGTTGTGACTTCTTCGAAAGGTTGTGACTTTTCGGATAAGGCACAATTAACACCTATTCATACTACTATTTGGTAGCTATAAATAGAGGGGTTTCCTCACACTTTTAAACTACAATTTCTTTAAGTTCTCTACTCTTCTTCTTCTTAAAAAATCTCAAGTGTTATTTGCAAAAAATGATTAAGTTCGAAATTCATCAAAATTCGAGGTACCTCATAAGAAAAAGTTGGTGAAAAAATTGTAACAAATCATTCATCAATTCACACTCGTATTTTTTCTTACCATTTTCATGAGTTAACAGTGACGAGAAGTTGTGGGAGAGACAATAATATTAAACAGATATGAGAAAAGGCATATGATTTGGGTAAGATATTTCTTCTTTCTTTTTTATTTTTTATTTTTTATTCTTTTCCCTCAAACGAAGGAGTTTTTTCCTAATTTTTCTAAAACAATGGGTATCAACGTAGTCCATTGAATTATTAGTTTTGATGTTAAATTCACTATTTCAAAAATATATTTTCACTTTTACTTATAATATGATAACATAGCCATGATAATAATTATTTTTTAATAGATATGTATATATAAAATTAACGGAGAAAGTAAAGTGTTGGTGGCAAGAGATTTAAATCAAATGGAACACTAGAGTGAATTTAGCATGAACATATATTTTCGTCTTCCTTCTTCATTGACTATGTACTGTTCCATATAATTTTTCTTTACATCACAAGATACACTCCTTACTAGCTATATAAAAATAGATAAGAAAATTTTGATTGATCATAAAATGATCTTAAATCAAATTAATGATTCTATAAATAATACTTTAAAGTTTATTCATCTATTAATTTTTATTATTAAAAAATTTAAATATTTTACATCATGATACAACTTCTATAAGATACTAGATACTTTCATTAGACAACAACTATATGATATGTATGCGGCAGAAAAAAGGAGAAGACTACAATTTCACAAAGATAAGGTAGAATTTTAATGAAATGAAATATTTTTCACCATAGGTGATGTTATTCATATATTAAAATTAAATTATTCTATTGAAGTATATGTAACCATCATTCATGATAACAACCAAGTACACTTTTTGGTAAAATTACCTCTCTATGATAGCCTTATTTAAATATTAATTGAGTAATAATATTTTGTAAAAGATATGTTGCATATAAAGATAAAATTGAAATACTTATGGTAATCCTTATTAGTGTCATGCACATATTAAATTTCAAGTATGAATATTTAAGACAAAATTTCTACTTAAATGGTGTACATCATTTATGTTCATAACCTCAAGAGGAAAGGCTGTGGGTGACATTTTTTGAATGGATATTTTTTTTCTATTTTGTTGGTTAGATTTGTTTACAAAATTGAGTGAAGTAAGAAATAATATTATTAAAGGAATGTCACTTTCTCCCATATTTAAACTTTGAATGTATTTTTGAAATGTTTTAATGATATCTGGTCATTTTGATCTCAAAATACAAGTAACTCTATGATAATATGTATTAATAATTTAAAAACAATTGTCCTATGTTTATTCAAAAGGTTGTGACATTTCTGGTAAGGCACAATTAGCACCTATTCATACTACTATTTGTTTGTTATAAATAGAGGAATTTCCTCACTTTTAAACTAAGATTATTTTAAGTTTTCTACTCTTTTTCTTCTTAAAAATTCCTAAGTGTTATTTGTAACAGTTGATTAAGTTCGAAATTCAAAGAAATTTGAAGTACCACATAAGAAAGAGTTGGTGAACAAATTGTAGCAAATCATATAATAATTCACTCGTATTTCTTTCTTACGAATTTCACGAGTTAACAGTGATGAGAAGTTGTGAGAGAGTGTATAATATTAAACAAATATGAACAAAGGCACATGATTTGGGTAAGATATTTCTTCTTTGTTTTTTTCATTTTTAATTCTTGTACCCTCAAACGAAGGAGTTTCTTCCTAATTTTGCTAAAACAATGGGCATCAACGTAGTCCATTGAATTATTAGTATGGATGTTAAATCCACTATTTCAAAAATAGATTTTTCCTATTACTTATAATATGATAATATAGTCATGATAATAATTATTTTTTAAATAGATATGTAAGTAAAAATGAATGGAGAAAGCAAAGTGTTGGTGGCAAGAGATTTCAATCAAATGAAACATTAGAGTAAATATACCATGAACATATATTTTTGTCTTCCTTCTTCATTGACTATGTATTGTGTTATGAATCTTTAGGAAAGGATCGATTCACAAGGCGAAATATAAATCAGCTCGTTAAAGGGAGGCTGAAACCATAGAATTCATTAAAAGAGAACTCTGATCTCTTCATCTCTTCAAAGGGAGACTGAAACCTTAGAGTTCAATGGAAGAGAGAACTCTAATCTCCTTCTTTTTGCTGAATTATGACTTACTGATTTATTCATCAAAAGCCCCTTTAAATAGGAGTCTTATTACATCAATAGGAAGTCTAATTCTTATGAAAGTAGGAGACCTAAATCCTATTCCAAACTAATAACTATAACTTGACCTAATCCTTATGATACTCTGAAACTAAACCTTATTCTAGAGTAATAAATAAAGCAACTAAAAATATAATTAAATACTAAAATTAATGACTTCCGCATCCCTAACATATTGTTCGATATATTTTTTCTTTTTTATATTTATATTGAGTATGAAATTTTATAAGTATGAATTTCCTGTTATTTTGGGATCATTTTAATTTGAGAAAATGTTAAGTCACAAGATACACTCCTTGCTAGCTATATAAAATTTTGTAAAAGATATATTACATATAAAGATAAAATATTAAATTATTTATGGTGATCCTTATTAGTGTCATGCACATACTAAATTTTCAAGTATGAATATTTAAGAGAAAAATTGTACTTAAATGGTGTTCATCATTTATGTGCATAACCTCAAAGAGGAAAGGCTATTGGCGACATTTTTTGTATTGATATGTTTTTTCTATTTTGTTGGTTAGATTTGTTTACAAAATTGAGTGAAGTAAAAAATAATACTACTAAAGAAATGTCACTTTCTCCCCATACTTATACTTTGAATGTATTCTAAAATATTTCAATGATATCTGGTCATTTTGATCTCAAAATACAAGTAACTCTATGAAAATATGTATTAATCGTTAAAAAGCACTTGTCTATGTTCTTTCAATTATAATTACTTACTAAAATCTTTAATTTAGTAGTATTAATTCTATTTTACAATATTGTATACTATATATACGATACACACGTGCCGTGAAACTAGTTCAAGTAAATGTAACAACCCTCATAGTCGTTTTGAGTTTTCTGTGTGTTCTCCATGTTTTAACCCTTCCCCTCGCTTCTGTATATCATTTTGTGACTAGCGGGATAGGTAGCATGGTTTTTGAGGTGATCGGATGAATATTGGATGAGATTTTGAGTTTTGAAGTTTGATAAAAGTCAACATTGTATGTGCGGCTAACGAGGTCGGATTCAAGTTGTGAGTTTTGATAGGACCACAAGGTGATTTTTGACTAAGTTGAGTGGCTTGCATGGATCTCGAGGTGTTGAGGACTGCTTTGAATCTTTGGGTGGATTCTTGAGTTTTGGAAAAGTAAGGTTTGACCATGGTCAACTTTTAGTCAAGATGACTAGGATCGTCATTAGATGATTCTAACAGGTCCAGAACAAAATTTTAGTCCATTTGCAAATTTTATTTGTTTTTGTTGGGTTCCAAATGATTTTCGAGGGTCCATTCGGAGTTTCGGTTGATTTTGGCCTTAGTTGAACTGTTTTCATCTGGTGAAGTTGAGTTCCTTCTTCAGATTTGTGAAGCTCTGGTCCTATTCATGAAGGATGAAAAGGTTGACCTTTGCATTTGCAATGTGAGGATCATAATTGCGAAGAAGGAGAGGGGTCCGGGTTCGGGTTGCGTTTGGGGGTGGGATCAAGTATGTGATAGGTCTAGGTTCAAGTCTGAGTTGCGTTTGCCATTAAGGAATTACACCTGGGAAGATTTTAATTTCAATTTTCAAACTTGGACTTCAAAACTAGATTTTGGAAGATTGTGAGCTCGGTTTTGGACGATTTTAGTGAGGTTTTCTCAAACTTAGACTTCATGCATTTTCGTCAACTCCTAACCATTTATCCACATCTCTCAACATGCGCATATTTTCTCACCCCTTTCAAAATAACTAATGATCATCAAAACAGGGACTTGCCTCAGATTCATTGATTGCCAAATTCCTTAGATTTTCAGCAATCCCTTCTTCCCTTTCTCTCGTTGAGCCCCTTCGTTGCTTATACTCCAAAAGAAATTATCCTATCTCATGGTGAAAGCACTAATCTCCCTCTATTGCAATACAACATTTCCATTTTTATACTACTTTTGCAACTTCCAAATATTCAAATCCATTAATCTATTCAATGTTTAAAGTTTTGATGTAATCTTTTCACCATCAACTTGTAAATTATTAATTTAATATTTTTCTTCCATTATCGTGAAAATAAGTTAAAATAACTTTATTAACTTCCTGGTCAATCACCTTACTATCGTAAAGATGAAATAGAGGGAGTAAACTAGTGAAAAGGTCCAGAGTTGTCACTAAACTTTGTGAAATGGTTCAAATATACCATAGGTAAATAGTTGAGGTCAAATATATTGTATGGTTACATGATCGGTCCAAATATGCCATTATTCACTAATGACAAAAGCTTTTCAACACGTCGCTTTTTCTGAAAGAGAAAGGCTCAAATTTGTCATGTCCAGTTTTTGCCTTTGAATAATGGCATATTTGGTTCAATCTTGTAAGAGTAGGGGTATATTTGGCCCCAATTATATTAACAGATGGCATATTTGGACCATGTCACAAAGTTCAGTGGTATATATGGACCTTTTCCCTGGAAACTATAAATTACTGAGTTTTAAATTGGGAATTCAGCAGGAACAACTCATTGATTCTACAAGTTGACCAAATATATTTTGAAACCAAATCACAATTACATACAAATAACATGAAAATCACAGAAAGAAAGATAAATGTTCATGATTTTTTTCAGATGGAGTTTAATACTAATAAGTGTTAATTTTTGGCAAACTTAAAAGGAGCAGAATTGTTAAGTACATAGTTAAGGAGCAGCTCTACACTCAAACATAAGATATCATTTTGTGTATAATAAGAAAGAAATTGCAAAAAGAGAGAGATACCTTGGAGAAAGAGAGAAGATCAGAACTAAATCTCATGCGTTCGCCTTTATCGCAATTGATAGATTTGGGAACATTTTGAACCAAAATTCCGCCAGGAATAGATATGTCTCGCACCTGATCATCGTCAACAGAGATCAACTGATAATCCTTGCAAAACTTCAACCTCAAATCATCCACTATATCAAACCCTAACCCAATCGCCTTCACTGCTCCTTCCGCAACCTCTCTAAGCCTCATCGCCGTTTCTTTGTTACTACTAGTCGCCATAAATATATTTATATAAATGAAATTTAAAGAAATAAATTAGTTAAACCGCTTAGAACGAAATTAATGGTTTAACAACTGTAAAAGCAATTATCGTTGATGTATTTCGGTGATGAATTTCACTGTACGGCAACCAGAGAAACGGCGGGTATGAAATTTGACTGATTAATATACTAATATGAAGTGTTAATTGATAAGAACAAGAAGAAGAAGAAAAAGTCTTAGGGTTTTTGGGTTTGATTAGGTGAAGAGAAGACAGGGGAGGTGAAGGGAGTTGGGACAATGGCTGACCAGTCAAATGTAGTGTTCTTGGCTGCTGTGATGAGCAAAATAGAGGGAAAAGTATCAACTAACTCTTAAATTAAAAAAAAAAAAGTGGCAACTTTGACAGAGTAAGGTCAAAGTTCCATTTTAAATAATAGTAACTAGTGAGGAAAAAACTAACATAAAAGATTGTAGTATTATAAAATAAAATAAAAATTAATGCAAGAATAAACTACACCAGAAGAAAGAGAGGAAAGGGATAACTATTTTCTTTCATTTTTTTCATCTCTTTGTCAATATATTTGAAGTGGCTTTTTATAAGTCAATTACTTGGTCATTATTATTATTATTATTATTATTATTATTACTATTATTATTATTATTATTATTATCAATTACTTCGTATTAAAATTTAACTAATTTTAGAACAAGAAGTGATGTGTTTTTAATGTATCAACGTATTTTTTGTGACAAAATAATTTCGTATAAAAAACTTAACTAATGTTAGGACAAAAAATGGCTTGTCACTAATGTATCACTATATTTTTTGCGACAAAATTTTTACATATTCAGAATTTAACTAAATTTAGGATTAAAATGATTTGTTGCTGATTGAGAATATCGTTAGTGACAAAATAATGTGTCACGAAAAGCTTTGAATTTGTGGCTACTAGTACACAACAAATGGTGCCAATTTATTTTTTGATGGGAAATTTTAGTGGACAAAATTTGGCTATAAGTTCTTATGTTTCATCACTAAAATTATGTGACTCGTATATTTAAGCACAAAGTATAATTTTTGTCATCAAAAGTGAATAATTTATGATGAATTTTATATTGTAGCTAATAGTTTCGTGGCTATATATCACACTAGGTAAATTACATACTAGGTAAATTATATGTGCTTCGCACGGGATTGAATTATGTTATTAAGCTTATATATGATCATTTGGTAATATTCGTATTTTCGATACATAAACTTCATTGTCAAGAACATTATATCTTAAGGTAAAGCGTTCCTCCAAAATCTTAAAGTGCTATATTTTTTTTAATTTTCATTTTTGTTGCACAAAAATTATGAGACCAAAAGATTTTAAGTATAAGAAAGAAGTCTAAGAAAATCTCCATGGAAATAGTTGGTAGAGGTGTTAATGGTACGGTTCGATCAGTTATTTTTTAAAAATTATGTCGTTCCAATTTTTTGGGTATTTTATAATATATACCAAAATTAGATTTTTTTTAAATCATCCCAATCATACCGGTTTCTCTTCGGTATCAGTACGGTTCAGTTAATTTTTGGGTTTTTTACTTTAAAAATATCATCTCAAAATATACTACTATTAAAATATTTCTTTCACAAATATATTCTTGAAGTAGCACTTTAATTCTTCACCAAGAAGACGAGAATGGAAAATCTTGTTGTCGTATTGTTTGATCTTAAATATTTAGTGGAAGTGTTTGCATAGGTGTTGTTGTATTGTTTGATAGAGTATCTATTACAATATTTTTTACTTTTAAACCTAACTAAGTAAAAACTGATTAAAGAGCAAAGACTCAAAGTCATCTAGTCACTAGCTAGAGGCCTAGGACCTAGGTTATATTTATATTTGAAAAATGTTATAAAATATATTATATTAATTTTAACATAATGTTAATATATAAATATATTTACATACATATAAGGTTATTCGGTTTGGGAATTTTTAATTTTTTTCATAAATTAAAAAGATCATCCCAATTGTTCGGGACGGTTATACACTTAAATAAAAGTCCACGAATTTATTAAAAAAATAACATAAATCGATTCAGTTCGATTCATAACATAAATTTGATATTGTTCTCTATAACTTCCTTGTTGGTATTTTTAACAGAGTTAAACAACAAGTCACCAAATATAGAAAAAAGAAATTGCAATAGTTACATTAATCATTATGACTTGCAATAAAAATTAAACTTCATAAAATAGGAGGAAGAAATCTTTGAGGAATGAAACACACTTCATAAGAAGCTTAATGTATTTGAATTCGACTCCCCTATAGCGAGAAAAAAAAACCTGTAGACATTATCATGTGCCTGCAGTTTAGAAAAACGTGTGGACTAGTAGCCTGTAGTTCCCCTGAATCAGAATTATCATGTGCCTGCAGTTTAGAAAAAGATTCAACAAAGGTAGCAAGGTGAGGTGAGACATCATGTTAGTCTGAGATTGCTTTGGAGACACATAGGGTAATGTGTTTTCATCAAAAACAACATGTCTGGATATGTAAACCCTCCTTGTAGAGGGATGATATAATCTATATCCTTTGTGTAAGCTGTTGTACCCTATGAACACACAAGGGTAAGTCTTTAGACTGAACTTGTTGCTACCCTTGCTTGATATATGGAAAACATCTACACCCAAACACTTTTAGGTTGTTGTAATCAAGTTGTTCCCCATACAACTTAACAAATGGAGTCACCAACTTTAGGACTGAGGAAAACAGTCTATTGATGAGGAATACTGCAGTGACGAAAGCCTCAACTCATAGAAACAAAGATAGGTTAGCATGAAGTAGTAGAGTTAAGTGATTAATAACGTTTCAAAGACCCTTCATCCAATTCTAAGCGTCAATGATCGTTAATCAGTATATAATCCAACTAAATGAGTTGGGGTTGAATCCCATAGGGAGCAGTACATGTTTAAGATTCAATAGTAAAGTGTGAACATGGTTAAATCAGTCATAGGAATAGACATTATCAAATAAAAACATAATTCAAGTCAGGGGTGACACGAATGTCAAATAAAATGGTTTTGGTTTGGAATTATCAGTTACAACAGCAGCAAACAATACGAAATAACAATAATGAGATGGGTTCTTGGGATTTGATTCAATTATAGACTAATATAGACAAATGGGTAATTGCAACTGTTAGGAAATAGTTGTATATCAGTAAATAAGCTAGACTATAGATGAGGTAAACTTTCTCTCGAACAGTTTACCCTGAATCAAGTTGATTTCTCTCGAACATCAACAACCATGCTAAATAAGAACATCATACACTTTAGTCCATTCACTCTCTCGAGCTGAATGTATGGAAAAGGGTTTAGGATTCATTCTCTCGAGCTGAACCCATGACAACCCAATACCCACTGACCATCAATGAATAATCTTAGTTTTAAAACCTCTCTCTCGAGCAAGCCAAAAACACAATGGTAAAATTGCATTTGTAACTACAATTCTTAAATTAAACCACAATTACTGATTGAATTCACTTCTAAACAACATTTAAACTAATAATTAGCAATACCCATAAACTAAATTAGCCCATAATCACATAATCACACCCCAAGATTTGGGGTTTAGTTAGACATCATAAAAAGATAAAAATTGTTACCAAATTGAGTTTCCATCAACTGGGTAAGATTAATTTCGTCCTTACAATGGTCCAAGTTGAAAATCTCAAAGACCCACTTCTAATTTCTCAAAAGTGAAAAACTTCAATTCTTCAAAGATAAGGAGAAAACTAAAGAAAACTTGTCTCAATACTTAGAGTAATTCCAATTCAAAAATGAAAATATGATAATAATTGATAAAAAAAATGATACTAAACTAGATGTTAAAAAGTGTATTTATAGTGGCCAAAGATGTGCTGCGAAGAGTCATTTGGCGAAGTAAGTCGGGTTCGCCGATCCATTCGGCGATCCACGCTTTGGTCAATTCCATCGCCCTTCTGCATTGCCCTTCAGCATCCTCGAGGTCAGTAACTTTGGGCGATCCACACTGCATCGCGGAACCACTCGACGATCCGCCGCCGACTTGGTTCTTTCCTTCAGGGCAAGATTGGTACACTGGAACTTTAAGCGGTCAAGAAGCCGTTCGGCGACTCACCAAATGGACTTGGCGATCACCACACTTACTTTTCTTCATTCTTTCAGCTCGCTTCGTTCCTTTTTGCAAATTAGTGTCCTTGCTTTGTTCCTCAATCCAAATACCTAGAAATCAAGGATTTTACATCAGTTATTGGCACAAAATAAGCATTTGAGGACATTAATCTATACAAATAAAGCCCTAAATGAGTCCAAATCTCGGACTCATCTACACCCCCAACTTAAACTTTTGCTTGTCCTCAAGTAAAACTCAAGTTCAGCAGTTCAAAAAGGATGTCTCAAACAGTGCTACACAAGACTCAATCATGAATGCACACAACAAGACTCAACTTACTTATGCAAGGATCAATTGTGCACTCAAAGGTTCAAGTTGTGACTCACCATTACCAAAGATTCTCAAGTTCACAATACTTGCTTCAAATGCAAGTTCAAGCTCAACAAAGGTGCTCAAATGCCCTCACACAAAGAATGATTCCATATTAACACAATTGTTCAACACTTTATAGTTTCGGAATCACATACAACTCTCACACTAAAAAAGATGAACACATGCATGACTTCACCCATAGGTTTGCCCTTATTTTCCAACCAACACTTGTTTCAGCTCACTCAAGATAAAAAAAAGGTCTTTTTAAGGCTTGTAATGGGGCTGAGTGTAAAGGTATGGTCATTTAGGCTCAGTGGTTGTTATCCTCAAGCATTGTGGTATGAACAACTTTCCTTCACTTCTTATGGACTACCGAACACCCCATTTCCTTTGTAGCTTTCATTACTTTATTTCACAACTTTTTCGTTCTTTTTCTTTTTATTTCTCTTTTTTTCTCTCTTTTTTTTTGTATGGAGGGTTTCCATCTTTCTCAAAACCATGGATCAATTGCACTTCTTGATTTACCTTCTCTTTTCACCACACCCCCAACTTAGACCTTTGCCCTAAGTTGGCTATTTAAACAAACCACACTTCATGAGGATTATGGGTGAAAGGATAAAGAGGGGTTACACTTGTATCAAGTTCCTTCCAAGAAAAGGATAAGACTCAAAGGGTGTTCAAGCAAAGTTCACACTCTCACAAAGTAGGCTACAAAAGAGGTATAATGTCAAATTGTTTCACTCTTCAAGATTTTTGCCTAAGATCATTTCAAAAATGTGC